ATAATACAGCCTGTTTTACTGTATATAGTGATAATACAGCCTCTGTCACAGTGCAGAAAAACAGTGATAATAACTATGAGGACATGCAGCTTGTTCCAGACTCCCACCACCCTTTGTGTAAAGACGTGACTTGCCCTCCCTCTCGCCCTGCAGCGACGGCGCCTGCGGCCAGTTCTCGGTGGGGGTGCCGGCCGTGCCCCCCGAGCTGCTGGTGGTGTTCGGATGTGGAGAGTGGGCCCCAGGAGGGGCGGAGGTCGCCGTGGAGCTGCGGGGGCCCGGAGAGGAGGCCCTCCCCCTTGGGAAACTCACCCCGCACTGCAGGTACAATTTACCCCCCTGCCTGGGGTTGCAGTAGACTCAGTGATACCCCCCCCGACCCCTTACACAGCAGTCCCCACTCCACTCCAGGGTTGACAGGTTTGTTAGAGACGTGTCCACACTGGGAGTCTGGGGGGGTCAGACTGCAGGGCAGAGAAAACCTGGAGCGGATCAGGCTGCTGTGCAATAGGAGCGTCTAACTGGTTATCTGGAAAACCTGGTCTGGATCAGGCTGTGCCTTCCCGATAATTTTTTTGGACTGTGGCTCTTCTGTCCTGTCCCCCTGTCCGCCCAGGTGTCTGCTGTGGGAGCCGGGCCGATCGGCGGACTGGGAGAAGTGGGCAAGCAAGATGGGGAGCTCTGGTCTCAGTCTGAGACTGCGTGTTCAGGGAGAGGTAGGTACCAGCCCGGCGGGCGCAGGGTCACTGGGAGGTCACCGTGCTGACCAGCCTGGCCTTGCCCCAGGCCTGAAACACCAACAGACACTGTCCTGAAGGCATTACTGCTGCTCCCTCGGCAGACATCTTTGTTTGGGGCAGTTGGCAGGAGCCTCACCTGTAACCTACAGGAACAGGAAGTGCAGCAGAATGCAGGGTTCTGATTGGCTAGTCCATCACGAAGGGCCTGGTAGTGTGAGTAGGCCTTCGGTTGAGGGGGGGTTGGGGGATTAATTAATCTACGAAGTCTCTGCGCCCCGCCCTCCCGGACCCAGTTTTATACCTCTCTGGTTTGCAATGTATTTGGGGGCTGGAGACCTGAAAGATGGGGTGAAAGTGGCTCTGCATGAGCAGTGGGTGGGCGGGAGGTCGGGTGAGCTGGTGTGGTGAGCTGATACCCCCCGTGTCCAACAGGAGGACAGCGCCAGGGCGGGGCAGCAGGGCAGCCAGGAACCGACCACAGAGGTGAGCGTCTGCCTCCTCTCTGCCCCCCCATCCTCTCCTCCTGTCTCCCTCCTCTGTCCTTCCTCTCTCTCCCCTCCTCTTCTATCCCTCCTCTCCCCTCTTATCTCTTCTCCCTCCTCCCCTCCCCTCCTCTCCCCTCCTCTCTCCCTCCTCTACCTCCTCTCTCTCCCCTCCTCTTCTCTCCCTCCTCTCCCCTCCTCTCCCTTCTCCCTCCTCCCCCCTCTGCTCTCCTCTCCCTCCTCTCCCCTCTGCTCTCCTCTCCCCTCCTCTCCCCTCTGCTCTCCTCTCCCCTCCTCTCCCCTCTGCTCTCCTCTCCCCTCCTCTCCCCTCTGCTCTCCTCTCCCTCCTCTCCCCTCTGCTCTCCCCTCTGCTCTCCTCTCCCCTCCTCTCCCGTCTGCTCTCCTTTCCCTCCTCTCCCCTCTGCTCTCCTCTCCCCTCTGCTCTCCTCTCCCCTCTGCTCTCCTCTCCCTTCTCTAACAGACTGTCTGCCTTCTCTTGCTCGGCCTGTCCAGGCCACCACAACGCCCCCCTCAGGCAGGGCGAAGAGGAAGAGGGGACAGCTGGGCTGGGAGGAGGGGCAGGGGCAGGAGAACGTGCCCCCCAGCGTCCCCCCGGCTGAGGCCCAGCGCCGAGTCCGCAGTCACCCCCGCCCCGGCCACACACGCCCCTTCACCCCCGTACAGCCCTGCAGGCCCGAGGGCAAGAGCAAGGCCCCAGGTGAGAGTGTGTGAGAGTGTGTGTGTTTATGACAGTGAGCGTGTGTGCGAGAGTGAGAGTGAGTGTGTGTGTTGCAGTGTGTTACAGCGTATATTCGTGCGGTACAGTGTGTGTGTTGCAGTGTATTAAAGTGTGTGTTGGGGTACAGTGCGTGTGTGTGACTGTGTTGCAGTGCAGTCCAGCGCGTGTGTGTGTGTGTGTGTGTGTGTGTGTGTGTGTGTGTGACCGTGTGTTGCAGTGCAGTCCAGCGTGTGTGTGTGACTGTGTGTTGCAGTGCAGATTCTGTGTTGGTGGACCCTGACCTGAGAAGCCGTGTTCTTCCCTGGGCTAACGAGTCCCTTGAGCGATGGGCCGAGGTGACGGAGCCTGTCTGTGCCTGAGCCCAGCCTGAGCTGTGACTTGTCTTCCTGGGCAGCGTGCGGAGCCGAACCCTCAGGGCGCTGGGGCCACACCCTGTGCCCCATCGGCTCCCAGACGGCCATCCTGATCGGCGGACAGGGTTCGAGAATGCAGTTCTGTAAGGACCCCATGTGGAAGCTCTGCACAGGTGAGGCACCCAGTGATGATGATGATGATGATGATGATGATGATGATGGTGCGTGTAAAACCTGAGGTTACCAACGCAGGGAACTCCCTCCACTTGGCTGCCAGCCTAGCTGATCCCATCCAGTTCTTTCCTGAAACATCCCAGGTAACCCTTGCTTGTTCCAGCCCCCCGCCACCCTTGGCGTAAGGACGATCCGCTTGTTCTCAGTTTTAAAGCCACTTCCTCTTAGTCTCCAGGCTTGTGCTCCTCCGGTATTCCCGTTATGTGTCGCCCGGGTGCGGCCGCACTGCGTTCCCGGGGTTAGAGGGAGGCCTTTATCTTGGCCAGCTTGTGCGGCTGATTCAGCTGTCCAGACGCCCCCCAGGGCACATTGACCAAGCTGACTGCGGTGGACTTCTTTACACAAAGAGTGGCGGGAGGCTGGGACGAGCTACCCAGACCTCTTTCCGGGACGTCTTCCCGGGTCCGACTGCGTGAGACCCTCAGATCAACGAGCCACAGACTTCTAACTAGCGAGTTTCCTTCTCCTGGGGTGCTGCAGAGGACCTCTCCTGGGTCGCCGCGGAGACCATCGCGGACGGCCCCACCCCTGACTGCCGGATTGGTCACACGGCGACCTTCGACCCGGAAAAGAAACGGATTTACGTGTTCGGCGGCTCCAAGAACAAGAAGTGGTTCAACGACGTCCACATCCTGGACACGGTCAGCTGGCGCTGGACCATGGTGGAGGTAAAGTGGACCGGTACAGAGCAGCAGCACCTCCTAGAGAGGGGGTTCTTTCCCTGGGGGGTCAGACGCCCCTTCTTGGGGGGAGGAGGGGGGGCGAGACATGCCAGATGTTTTTTTAGAAGATGAATCCTTTCAGCACACTAATTAGGCACGGGCGCATTTGCACAAGACTTCGTTTCTCCAGTCCTCGGGATCTGGGGGGGAGTTTTTCATAGCGTCTTCATTTCACTGCAAGACTAAAAGAAGTCAATAAGGACATAATTGTATCTGGTTCAGTCTGTCGTGATGGTGGATCTGAGGTTTAAAGGACTGAGCTGCTGCAATGATTTTTGGGGGTGGGGGGACCTGTACTTTACTTACTCCCTCTCTGCACCCCCCTCCCCCCCAGGCACAGGGCAAGGTGCCCCCCCTGGCCTATCACACCTGCAGCCTGTTCCGGGGGGAGCTGTTCGTCCTGGGGGGGGTGTTCCCGCGCCCCCACCCCGAGCCCGACGGCTGCAGCGACTCTCTCTACATCTTCAACCCCGAGCTGGGCATCTGGTACCAGCCCATCGTCCTCGGCGACCGGCCCGCGCCGCGATCCGGGTGAGGACCGGGGGGCCGGGGCGTGGGGGGGCAGTGGGGGCGGGGTGTGATTGACCTCTGAAACTGGGGGGCTCAGGTGAGGACTGGGGGGCCGGGGTGTGGGGGGACAGTGAGGGCGGGGAGTTATTGACCTCTGAAACTGGGGGCTCAGGTGAGGACTGGGGGGCCAGGGTGTGGGGGGACAGTGAGGGCAGGGAGTTATTGACCTCTGAAACTGACCCCCCCCCCCATCCGTCGTGTGTCTTCCCGGCCAGGCACTCCGCCTGCGTGATCCGGGGAAAGATCTACATCTTCGGAGGCTGGGACACGCCCATCTGCTACAACGACACGCACGCGCTGGACCTGGGTAAGACGCCCGGCCGCCCGCGGGCTCTGCTGGCACACTGGCCTGCTTGCCGCTGTCCCGTAGCAAGGAGAGGCTACAGCCTGGCGAATGAAGCAGTTCCATCTGTTTTATTAACTCTTTCTCCAGTCCAGGGCCGCAGGGGAGCCTGTCCCAGCAGCTGGCGAAAGGCGGGGTACAGCCCGGATGGGACCCCAGTCCATCGCAGGGCACCCACAGACACACACACCAGGGGCAGTCTTTCCAGAAGACAATTTTCCTCCCAGGATGTCTTTGGACTGTGGGAGGAAACTGGGGGAAACCCACGTGAATGTGCGTGGGGGGGGGGGGAACATGCAAACTCCACCCAGACAGCCTCCCAGGCGCAGAATTGCACCCCAGAGCTGTGCCGCAGTGTCCCCTGCGGACCGCTGGAGGGGACACGATTGTATCTGCCTGACGCTGCGGCTCCTGTGTTTCAGGTCTGATGGAGTTCTCTGCTGTGGAAGTACGTGGAGCGCCCCCTTCCCCCCGGAGGTATAACTGCACCCTCTGTTTTTTTTTTGTTTTTTTTTTAGTTGTTGTTCCAAATCAGAAATGCCAGTTACAATCACCTCAGTATCAGGAGCAGATGAGCTGGTCAATGCTGTAGAAATCACCCTCCCCCAACAGTAAGCCTTTGAAATCTGAATGTGTTCAGATACAGAATCACTGACACTTGAGTCAGGAATGTATCTCTACGTACTTGTTACTCTCTTCATAAATCACAAGTTTCTTCCTTCTCTTGAATGTAAACAGTTTGGTTAGAAGTAAAACAACTGTAAAATTTTAAGGGAATAGATAAGCTTCGACTCAGTTCTTTGAGTGTGACGCATATTGGTCAATTTGTATTCTAAAAGGATAGTTGTGCAATGTCTTCTGTATTTAAAACGGGTTTTATCTGTTCTCTAAAATAAGTCTTTTTTTTAAAAAAAGGAAATGACCCGTCCACTCCCCTCCCCCCTCCCCCC